CCCTTAAGAACGAGGAACTCGAGAAGGTTGATGGATGCACTTACCTAGTCTGCTGCATCAGCAACGATGGGCACATAGCAACTGAAGTCAGTTCACTTGTTGCAAAAGCCATAACTGCCTTATTGAATCTGCGGGATCTTTGGTGACAGAAGGGAGATTCTCTCCGTCTAAAAGGCCGTGTATACAAGGCGACATTGAGGGCCCTCTCGCTCAGTGGTAGTGAGACTTAGTCCCTTCGGTCTGAAGATCTGAGGCGCCTTCAGCTTTATGTACGAAGCATTGCTGGTGTCGGATGGCAGCAGCGGGTCCGCAATGTTGATGAGCGTAGGCGAGTACGTAGAACAACAGATAGCACTGAATAAGCTGCGTTGGTTTGGGCACGTGCTACGTATGCCTGATCACCGCTTACCTAATAGAGACTTATTTAGTCTGCAAGCTGTAGACTGGCGCAAAGCGCGATTTGGAGAGAAGTTGATTCGGCAGCTGGAAATGAAGTCACTAACAACTAAAGTGGGTAGAGCTGGTCCGTCTCGCCTTCGTCCCGCCTTGTACTGGGCACGAGAGTTTACATGATATGGCTCATAACCGACACCAGTGGCGCGTCTGCTGCCCTTTCTTAGTCGGACTGGCTGTTTAATGTGTGTTTGATGCTGAGTTATCTAGTGGGTAATGGCTGATTATGACACGTGGAGGTGAAAGCCGAAACGATGCTGTCTTGCCGATGCGACCTTATCTCTGCACGATAGCCAGCTGTTTAAGACGGTATGTTGATACCACGAGGTGTAAACGCCTTGACCCTGAATGTCTACATAGGGCATTAAGGTTTACAGGTAACCCCCTTCTTACCTTCGTATTATTCCTTATTTCATTGGTCCTCATGGTTGCATGACAGCGAAGCATCAGTTCAAATGACAAATGTACTGCTTTTGATAGTGATGATGATGATTCCCATGTGCCGGGTGTACGAAAGCCTGGGTAATAAAAATCATGCGGACTGTCGAACACGGGCTGTCGTAATTCATGTTTTACGACTGGGTGCGGTGTGAGTAGTGATGTGTCGAAAAGAGTGCATGCATCTGAGGATGTCAGCCGAACGGACTAAATGTCCATTGAGGAGGAGATGCGTATTATAATGCATCAGCAGAAACCAAAACCTAATGGAGAAGGACACCGTACAAACAACTGCGGAGACAAACTGGCCCTGGGTCACGAGGCGTGGGTCGAAGAGGCCATTTTCAAAGGTCGCATGCCCAAACGACCAATGACGTTGACCTAGAAAATTGCACGCGCGTGACTACCCGGATGACACTGTTACGCATCGCTGCGCTGTGCCACGCTACGTTGTGGTACGCTACACATTAACGCACTGATGATGTCACCTAGACTAGTGACGAAATGTTTGTAACGAGTGCCAAGCTCAGAGACTAATTCGCTTAACAAATGATGGGCATGAACTATTCGGGCGTACCGCGCTGCGGCAATCTCCTCGATGCAAAAGCTTCGCCGGTCAACGACTTAGTACGCGTGAGCAACTACATTTCATTCATGTCTGAAAGAAATGTTCTTTCACAGGCCGGCCTTAGGCCATCCAAGTGCCTGTATTTGAACGAGGCAGTATGGGAAGCGTATGGTCAAATTGCTAATGTTAGATGCCAGCAGTTGCCTTCCTGCTTACAAAAAATCCTTTCAAGATAACAGACCTCACTGTGTGATTCCTATGGCACCCTTAAATACCCACAGCCTGCATCCGCAGTCCCACGTCGAGTGGACGACACAAGAAACCAATGTAAATCGGCAGTACGCACCAAGACGAACACGCCTACCGAAAGACTGACCAAAGTAACCTTAAACGATAGGCCAGAAACTTATCGCACCGCCCACTCAACACCATTGAAGGGACGTGTTTATCAACGGCAGAAATTTAAACGGCAGAAATGCCTGCCATAAGCTTACCTCTTTATGTGTTTAAGGAATGCGGACTGTCAGAACAAGATTAGCAACAAATTCGCTAAGAGCAATCGCAGCTCGTCATTTTCATTTAGTAGTGGATCTACCCAAACCGATCACTTGAAGAATGATAAGTTGACGGGAAATCTTTGCGCAGTGATTCGTATTTTCTTGGCATAATTCGCTCCGAGAAGCATCGCTGGATGTGATAAAACGTATGCACGACCGACAACAAATTAATGAGCTATCGTGAATCACTGCCATTCAATATGACCAGCCCCCGTTTGACGAACGCAATCTCACCTAATCTGGTATCTACAACTTTGGCATTATTGTTTTTAATTCCGTATATTTATATTCTTCCTTATTTCATTGTCGGCCACGTGTGAGTTTTGCTCTTGAAGTGATGGATGGACAATTCCAAGCGAATAATTCTACCCACTCACGGCTTATTGCCACTAGCTCACTGGCGTTTGATAAATAATGTGTCATGCTTGAAATGCGCCGTATAATAGAACGAGCTGCATGGTTTTATGGACCATAACTCAAGAGCATACACCGCATTAAAGATGTGTAAAAGAGACGCCGGGATGCATAATCTTACGCTACAGCGGCACACGACCAAGTGGGGCAGAGAATTTGTGGAGCTTCTAGAGGAAATATCCTGCATGATAGCACGTACACAGGAGACGCTTCCATGAAAGGCGGTCGTCTGAATATTTTCCCATGTTTCCAAATGTTATTGTTCTCAATTTGACGAATTTTTCATATAGCCAAATTCTTTGTGCCCGAATTAATTTGGAAACAGCATTGCATAATGTGCAGTTTTTATTTTACGCGATCTCGCAGTACCTATATGATCAAACCAGAGTTGTACTCTGTATTGCGTTGTCGTGAAACATACCCTTTTAGGAAAAACAACGCAAGAGTTGATTTACTCGCATATACTGATGTCGCAGGCTAACAAATCACTGTTCAGTGTCCACCTTTCAATTTCGTAAAGGTTTGCGGTTACTTATTTTATGAAGCTGCATTACTATATGGAGTTTTTCAGGATCTGCAAGTACCCAAATTTTTTCGGTGTTTTTCGCTTTTCGGGCCAAGCGTTGTGGCATCAATATATTCTAATTTATCTACAGCAATGTATCGAAATTGTTGCTCATGTGACATAATGTTCTAGGTTTCTTCTGTTCGGTTGCGGCTACTTTTAGTAGCTTATGCTGAAAGCTCTGCAAATACGTGTTGCGCTATACAATAGTTGTCAGTACATCTACATACACGAGGATAAGACTGAAAAATTCATTTGCAGTTACGGTGGAATTTTGGGTCGAAAGCAATGTGTCCCAGTCCATCCTCGATGCGAGTGAAGGGTGTTAGCGGTGTCTTCAAATTTGGTTGTGTTCTTCGATTCTTTTCTGTGGAATTATTAACACACGCTTTTGCTTTGTACGAACTATCATTTTCACACTTCGTTTATTCTGGTTACAGTTGTTATCACGATATGCTGCTGTCGCTACGTGTTTCCGCGCCAACAGCCTATGCATTTTCTAACGGCTACGTCAAAGAATAAATTGGAACGAAACTACAAGGAACGTAATAACTGTGAACGAGTACACCTTACATGGAGGAGGGTTGCTCTTCGGGAAAAAAACTGGAAATGATGAGCAGGCGCAATTTCCTTTCTTCCAACATCCGCTCGCATTTAAGGAAACTTGATGAACTAACAAGTACCATCAACTTCCAAGCATCTTTACCGCTTAGTATCAATTTTGTACAAGAGACTTGCCTTTGCGAGGAAAGGAATAACACTTGTATCGGTTAAAGGGTTCCGATGTCATCGGGTCGACCGCCCCTGCACCTCATGTAACCGTGGCTGTGCAGTCATCATTTACACCAACATTCCGTGGTACGTATCTCCGAAAGTTTTGTTTTGGCTTTCCTTCTCAGCGTACTAGCTGCTTAGTTCTAAAATGTGTAAGCCAAGATGTATCAGTGCGTACCACTCAATCTTACTGACAAGTATATATATTTCTTCAACTTGCTGAAATGCTGAAGCTAAGGCATTTTACAATGGGTTTAGTACGGCTGCTACAGAACACATCGATTGCTCACTTTGTATTTTCTCTATTGATTTTGGCAGATTTAACATCGTTTTTCTCATTAGCCTTGGACCATAAAACATCGTACATTGCCCAACTTGATCTAATGCTACTCTTGATCTAGTATTTGTTGACACCTTTAAAGTATCATATGTGTGGAATAGGACGCCGTTCGGTAGCTCTGATCATCCAACAACTAAACTGTGTTCGGTGAGCTACTCTAAAGCAAAGCATAAGGAGGTTACTAGTTGAAACGATCAGAAGTTCAACTGGAGGCAGTGTTCCGCACATAAGGTTGACCGACTGCGAGAAATGGTAGCATCCGACGATTTCAGTTTACTTTTTAACACTGATGTATCCGTGTATTGCCATCAGTTAACAGGGTGCTTAAAATTTCTGTTTCGACATTTGATGCCCATGCGAAACTCCGTTCATTCGTGTAGACAAGTTCTCTTTCCTCCATCTGAAGCGGCTACGCAGGCAAGAAGAGAAGGTTTTCAAAGCAAAACTCAGCACATCAGCAGAGTCCCTCTGTCCTTATGAAGGAGGAGCTGCGCTTTTTAAACAACGTTTACGTTCTGGCTATACTTAGGAGTAGTAGCTGCCGTGAACCCTGGAGGATGTTGTAATAATAAGCGGGCTTACTCGTCATGCACCAATCTCCTACGTATATGTGGCGAAGCTGAACCTTGACTTGTGCAACAACAATTCGACCTTTGAATCATCGTTTGTTAAGCCTAATTTGTCTGCGGCTTCACGGCTCCCTGTCGACAGCGGCACTGCACACAAGTTACTGTAATGGTTTCACTCAGATAATGTAACAGGTCCAGACAGTCTGCCTCCCGTTGTCCTCAAGCAATGTGCTGACTTCCTGGCCAAACCTCTGGCTACTTTCATACATTACGCATTCAATAACATAAACTTTGGACTTCTGGAGAGGCGTCAATGTCAAACCAATGCCAAAAAAGCCGCAAGCAAATATCGACCAATTGCTTGTACTTCCGTAGCTTTCATGGACTTCAAAAAAATGATTCTTGAGAGGAGGCTGATCCAAAAGATTTTAAATGGTTCTTTCAATTTGCTTACCGCAACTCGGTCAATCCAAGATGCAGTAGCCTGTCTTGTGCACTCGGTTCTGCCATCACTGGACATTGGAAGCAAATTCACCGTAGTCTGCTTTCTGGAATACAGCAATGCGTTTGGCTGCCTAAACCAATTGCTCTTGAAAAAGCTACTCAGTGCTGGAATTCACCCATCCAATTTCCTTTTGTTAAGGGATATTCTACCGGTCATACTCGAGTTACCCAATTAGGCAGGCAGAAGCTTTTCACAACTAATCGCAAGCACCGTCCTTCTTTAGGACGCTATTCTATTACCATTTCTATTTTCGAATTATTTAAGCACAACACCAGTGCCCGGAGAGGCAACCCTGTTGAAATCCGCAGATGACATTGTTCTGGACGTCAGTTAATCGAACACTGCCTCTTCAGTCAGACCGCAAGATATTATCAACGATCTCACTGTTCGGTCAAAGGCCATCGAGCTACCGCCTAAGGTGTCAAAATGCAATGCTGTCAATTTTTTCTTGCACAGGGGAGTCGATAGCAACAGATTTTCCAGCAATGACAGGCATTCGACACCGATGGCGAGAGGTTGGGATCTTTCCCATCAGTAAAGTACCTGGGTGTAATACTTAGCTATGATTTATCTTGGTCACAGCATATAAAAGAAACGTGCACAAATGTCGGGACGTTATCGTTCTGCGCCTCACGCCTGCGAGCATCTTCTGTGACCCATGATTGAATACCTCACTTTTGCTCTGCTTGTATGCTTCCACACAGGACGAACTGCTCATTAGGGCTTTTTCCTTGTCTACTAGGCAAAGAGTTTAGATTAATCACGAGGTCGTTAAAACATTTGTCGCAAGGCAGCAATGTATCAAACAGACGTTTGTTGCTATTCGTGTATCCAATCATGCTGATGCTGATAAGAGACTAGCACCTGTCGCACACCCGTGTATGGCCGCACTTTAACTCGGCTCTAGCTTCGCCCTCCGTGGTCACACGAATCCTCCGCACACAATATTATGTTTACCGACATTCCTCTGTCAACCATGGTTCTCGCATGGTAGGGAACTGTGGCTGGCAAGTAAGGTAGGAGCTACAAGATAGGGATGTTTTCACCACCGATTCTCGTTTCCGACTTCCACACTTCATTTCAGCCGTTATAGCTTCAATATGACGTACCTGCCCATTATGCACAAACGGTGAGGGATTATCTTAATGAGGTGTTCGGTCACCGGTGGATCGTTTGCGGAAGTCCAAAGGATTGGCCTGCCCGGTCACCACATTTGAACCCCTTATATTTCTTCCAATGGGATTATTTGCAAAGAATTCACAACCTTTATTTCACTGGAACAGCTGAAAGGCAGTATTGTCAACGAATGTCGCGCCATCCACACGGAAACTGCAAAATGTTATAGTCTATTGCTTCAGGCGATTTCTGCACTGCAAGCTGAACGCCGGCGGGCACGTTAAGCATCTTCTTCATTGACGGACATACCACCGTTTTATACTGCTTAGGTTAATATACCGATTCATCGGTATCACTGATTTCTAGACTGTTGGTTCACGCTCAAATGGTGTCAAATGTGCGTCGGGCCAGAATGCATTCAACGAGCAAGACTGATTCGACAGCGCTTAGACTGACCACTTCTATGCAAGTTGGTTCACAATGTCAATACTTGCTTCTCATGATTATGTCTATGGAATACGGTGAGGAAATGAACGTGACGGTGATGTGAGAATAGGCTACGCGGTTTCGTATTTTTATCGTGTTCATCAGCGTACAGACTGGCGTGGGATGAATGCTTCTAAACACTGACATAGGGTCACATAAACGGGAAAGAAAGGTGGTCCAACAATTTTTTAATAGGAATATCGACCGTGAATGCGTGGCTTATCGATCATTTTGAAGTTGATAATCGGAGTTTGCAGCAATAGCAGTGAGAAAAGTTACCACAGGGATAACTGTGTTGTGGTGGAGAGTATACGTGAGAACCCACGTGAGTGTGCTGTGATTCCACGATTTGTTCATCAGTTTTGCGAGCCCGTGAGCTTCACGTTTTGTGGAATACATAAATCTCAGTATCCACAAGGATTAGATATTGCCTAGAAATGCAACTTCTTACTCCCATGCTAATGGAATATTGTCTCATCGGTGAATATATATTGGATAGTGATATTGGATTGAATACATATTGGAATGAACATGAAAGGCTGTGGCGAGAGAATAGGCTATGCGGCAACTAGTAGTCTTTAGGTGGCATAGCTTTTCAGGACTACTTGCTCAAAACGCTACCTTTTATATTTGCAAGGCCTAATTGCAAGGAACGCCTATTTTGCCAAGGTGGCTTGTTGGAAGCGAACTTCAGTCTGCAAGAGTGTTGCCAATGGCCCTTTTGTCATTAGTTGGGATAAAACTAATCACCTATCGAACACTCCTTGCTTAGGTCAGTTAGGCCTGTCCAAGCACCAGCACAATTCTACCGCAGTAGCCCGTTTTGATTTTGCACACTGGCGTTCGCTCCAACCAACCCGAAACACGGTATGTAGCGATCGGTGAACTTGCCGTGACACGCCGTAGCTAACTTCAACCCAACCATCCGCGCCCATCCAGCGTTTTCATGATGGACGAGACTAGCAAGTACACAAATACTTGAGTACAAGTGCATACAACGCTCATGAGGCCATCACTCCGGTCGTTCACACCCATGTGACCGGGTGCGACCGATATCTACTATTGGACAGTTGGCAACTGAGTGCCCTCTACTCTCCCCTAAAGGCCTGACACTTAGTCCCCGAGTAACAGAGTAAAACGACAAGACATCTGGGACTAACACTATCCGGACACTTAGTTAACCCAACTCGTATCGTCTATGGTATTTTGGGTCAAGAACTTTTATTACTCGTCAGTTTATGCGGCCACAAGCCTTGGACGTCTTCATTTATTAGCACGGCAGCTTATGTCTTTCACCTCAGAAGTTTGACCTAGTGGTGGCCAACAATGCGGTAAAGAAGGCCATAGAGTATGAGGATATAGAAGGTTGAATATGGTAATGAGAATAAATAAGAAAATGAATTTCAGCAACTGCCAGGAAAGGCCGATGGATTTCTCGATCATATTTGCTGCAGAATCGCCGCAAAACCACTCACTTTCAATACTAGCATTTCATGTGGGACTCGATCGAACATTTTTGCATGTCAAGATAGAGGACACTGCACTTCAGTACAGAATCAATCGCTCCAGTGGTAGATCATCTATAAAATGAATATGGCAGTTCGCGCTCGAGCGGTGTTTTAAAAAGCCATGCTACGAAAGTGAAAGATAACTGTGCGACAAGAAGAAAAAAGGGATTTTTCCTGTACAATTCTTTCCATCATTCGTGATAGGATGGAAGTGCGACTAATAGGGTAATAGTTACGAATAATACTTTTAAACCCGGATTTAAAAGGAGGTGATATCAGCTTTTTCTCCATTTCTGTATACTGAGCTAACTTTAACGGCAGTGAATATCATCACCACTAAACTTGATTAAAGCTGAAGAACTACCTGTGGGACCAGGGTTATAAGATGGCCGCAGCAACGTAAGCTTGTGTTTAATGACTTCGATGTTGAAGTCCACGACAGAAACAGTTTCGGGGATGACAAATGCGATTGGAGGTATCAGAATCTCATTTTGGTGCTGAAAGTTTCAGCAAAATATGCATTTAAGGTATCTGCTAAAGCAGTAGGCGTGTCGACAACACTGCAGTGTGGTGTGATAATATGGTAGGTCAGTTTGTCGCTATTTTTCTTATTTAACAAGATACCTAATTCACTAATTTTGTTCTTGCTGTGTAAGATTCGCCTTTCTTCTTACTTTAGTTGCGTAGCTTTCCTGGCATCTGTTTCAAGCACAAGTCTTTGGAGGCGCATCAACACGTAGAATTCACCATCTTTTCATACGTTCCAGCTCGTGTGTGAGCATTTGCTCGAAAGTCCGGCACAATATTATTTTTTCGCAAATAACAAGTGTAAGCAATAGTGTTTGTTGGAATAAAACAGAGTATGCACATCCTGGACGTAATGTGAAAGTATTATAACATCTGACTGCGCATAACTCATTCTGAACAGAAAGCAAGAACACACCACGCTGGTACGACCACTTGAAAAGTTGACATAATTGATCAAACGAAATACACAAAGATCAATAAAACAATCAGCCAACACGTGACAGGACATAGTCATGCATGTCAAACGGTCTAACGGTGAACGACTATCAAGCGCGAGCCCGTCTAACACCCTTCTTTAGACTGAATTGGATAGCACGCCACGTTTGATTCGTATGCTTTACGTCTCCGGCTAACCTCGAGTCACTGCACTAGGGCACTGCTTTGCCTTGTGTATCTTTGATATGTTGTTACGCTTTCTATTTGGATAACAGGCTCTTCCGATGGAGTAATTTGATACGTATCCAGCAAAATGTCTAACGGGAGTGAAGCTACCTGTTTTAGGACATCTCTTGCACTTCAAAATGGGGTATGATATGATTTACGTGTCTAGTCTATATGATGGAATCCACTTGTATTCTGTAGAAAACGCAACCCGTTCGATGACACGGCCAGAAATCCAGGCTGATCTCCAGTCACCAAAATTCTACGTACACTCTATCACCAGGCACGAAATGCCGGGGCGTACTCCATGATGGTAATGAAAAGCCAACTCTATTTGAACACTGGGCTCTCCCTTGTGTAGCGATCACTTCAAAGCATAAAGGACCATTCTGATACGCTCACCGAGAAAAGCTTCAGATGGAGATACTTTTGTGGCGCTGCTGGACCTGGCGTCATATGGTAAATCTGAAAAAAATGCGTCGATGGTTTCCTGGATATACCTCTCTCCCTCCATTTTAATCAGTACTCGCTTAAACCTATCGACAAAACCTGCAACCTGTTCGTTTGACTGTAGATGGTACGCGTGTGCGTACGGTGTGCGTACGTGTTCGATACCATGTGAGTTGCAAAAGTCAGCAAATTCTTGAGAAGTGAATTGGGAGCTGTTTTTTGAAACAATTGTTTCGGGAACACCGAATTCTGAGATAAGTTGGCGTA